AATTCACTTAAACCAGCTTCCCCATTCCTATTTTACTTGTACTTAAAAGAGTAAAAAGGAAAACAGGTTCTCTTTTATTTCTTGAACTCCTGAAGGATAGCAAGAGGAGGTCAACCTCCCTCAGAGCAGAAACTCAAGGAAAGCGTGTCTTTTGGCAGAAAGACAACAGGTCAGGGAACTGTGGACGCACTTTATGATGCATGTGTCTCAAGGGGAAAGCAAGGTGAGAAGGGAGAGATGTGCAATACTGTGTGGGTCATAGTAGAAGTGACAGACAGCACGCAGGGGATAATGAAAGGAAAAGAGAGTAGAAGGACCCAGCAGGTCAGAAAGGAAAACTGTTCTAATCACTTCTCAGGACTAAACTGTGCATCCTTCAGAAGACTGCAAAGCTATTTAAACAAAAGCACTAAGCCACGTCAGACAAACTATGGCAAAGAAATACGAGGTACGATGGAAGACTTAATCTAAGATGGAAAGGGACACATATGCCTACAACCACTTCCCAATGCAGTACATGCCCCGCTTGGTGAAGGAGAATCTGTATCACTGGCCAGCTCCTGCCTAAGCCATACAAACACCCCCTCCCCTCTCCATGCACACACACTTCATGACTCCAGCCAATTCCACCTACTTCTGTGTCCCAGAGAAAACAACTTGAAACGTCCTTAAGCATTGATGAATTCTTCATAATTGCAATAGCTGAGGAAATTACCTGGAGATCTTCAGAGGGTTGTCAGGCAATCAGAAAATCCTGACAGTATTAAAATTACATTATCTAAATCTAAATATATGTCCTCACCTGAACACTGGGTTTTTTTTGTTGTCTTGTCTCAACCTAGGTATTGTGGAAAGGGTCCAGAAAGGAAAACCAGCATTAAGACAGACATGGAAATTCCCATTTCATTTGTGTAGTTTCAAGAGAACTCAAAGTTACTATGACAGAAGCATGCACAAATTTGTGTGGTAAAGATGTCAGTAACACACACCAATTAGCTTTGAAGAGAAATCAAAACAAATGCTTACACAATGTACTGTTAGCTTCTACAGATCAGTGCCACAGAGAGACATTGCAGAAAAAAAGCTTGGAAACTTTAAAAAGGGCAAGTTTACTATGCAGATAAACTACTATCCAACGTAGTAGGTAACGTAACAACCCTTAGTGTGCCACTCATCAGAAAAGCCATGTGGTCCCTGCTAGACAGAGGTTGTTGGGTCACACGTCACTTTCCTGAGTCAAAATTTGCTCTAAGATCAATGTTTCAGGCACCAGCAATGGGAAGGATTGCCTTCCATCTATATCAACAAAGGGCAAATTACTGATAAGCAAAACAAATTATTTTAAAAGTCCCACAGTTTTCCCAGGGAAGATTCATACAAGGAGCAAAGAATGGAATTTGCAAAACCTTCAATAGTGAACCCTACACAAGTACTACTGAGGTACTCAGAATTGCAAACTTAATTCTCTTAGAAACTTAATTGGCTGATGAGATTAATTTGCTTAGAGTCTAAGTGATAATACTTTTCTCAAACAGTAGCTGAACTTTTTTTTGTGTGGTTTGTTTTGGGTTTTTTTAATCAGATGACTGGAGTCAGGAGATCAAAGGATAAACATTTTTCCAGCTGTGGATATACTGGCTTTTATCAGCATGGTCATCACAACTAGATTCACAGTGAGCAACTTTCCCACAACGGCAGGCATAATTCCATTTTACTTTCTTACACACAGACACCGCCTTTACAAAGAATCCCTGCACAGCCCTATTCTAGTCCGGTCAACTTCAATATTCTCATATAGCTTTGCACTGTGTGAATTTACATGATATGGAATGAAGCAAATCAAACACACATAATTTCATTTCATTCTTGATATTCGAAAGAAGCACCTCTCCAAGGTTGTTATGAAAGGGCAAGTTAGGTGAAGAACTTCTTGGAAAATATTGCCAAGAGGAGTGCAGTTCACTTCTGTCCACCTGAAGTCATCTATTGTTGAGGAGTTCAGAGATGGCTCGGGAGTGTCTAATCTCAATGTAAGCAAATTCCACATACAGAAGTCATGAAAATACGTGTACTGATTTTGGAAGTAGATATTCACTGTGAATATCTAGGCAATAAAATCTATGGAAAGTGAATGGAAAAGTATGACAATTTTTATTTCAGGAGATAACACTAGGTAAAACTCCCAGGCTTAGGGAAAACAGGCTAAAGTGTTCACAGGCTACATCTAAACAGATATTCAGGAAAGAAAACTCCTTCTTAAACTAGTTAAGTTTAAAATCAAAGAAAGAAGTATGTACCTACATGCTTTTCTGGATCTGGCTGAGATGATTTAGAAATCTACAAGTAATACAAAGTGTGCCAGTGATTTGAAAGACAAATCTCAATGAAGATGAAGAATGATTTTGAAAATTCTACCCTTTGCTTTTTACTTTCTATGAAATAACGCCATATGTCAATACAATATCAATAGAAGAAACTATGTTTTAATACAGTTTTGGCTGGAAATGATTTAAAGTAGATTTTAAAACCACAAACAAATACTTGGCTAATATATTTTGTTCTATGGCAACAGTAATTAGCAAAGTCCTTCAGAAAAAACTACATGCATCTACCACAAACTCAAATTGTACAATAAATCAGAATTCAGATTACTAAAAGGCAATCATAAAGCTTTTACCGTAATTTCATAAGTTGTTCCAGGGTTAAGACTGGTAAGAAGGACTTCCAAACTATCAGGCTTTGATGTGACCTGTGTGTAAGCTGTTTGCATCCATGGGCAGACCTCTTTATATTTAACAATATAGGAAAGAATTCTCCCATTCGGATGCAGTGGCGTATTCCATGAAAGTAGAATCCCGGCAGAGCCCACTCGTTCACCTGCAAGGAACACAGGGGGCCCAGGATCTAGGAAAAAAAAAAAAAAGAAAAAGTAATTACTTTATATATATGTATACATACACACACACACACAAAACAGTTTTTAATTAAGTTTCCAGATAATGGAGACACCTTCAGAACTTCTATAAAGAAATTAAACCATCTGCCAGCATAAACCAATAAAACTATGGAAAACTAATGTACTGTTCAACAATAAGCTTTTTTTCCAGCTGGAGTCCTGTTACAAAAATGATTAAATGAATTCTGAAACACCAGGAACATTCTTCTGTAAGAATGTAAAAAATGTAATGCTCAAGGTCTTCGTGGACAAATTAATGGCAATTTAATATTTGAGATATTCTAGCATGCTTAATTTCAGTTCCTTTCCCTAAAACCAAACTGCACTCTCTTACAAAACATGTCTGGTATGGCTACCTTTTTTTAAAACATCTCTGAAGTCTACCACTACACATACAAACTGGGGCATGGAAATTACAACATGACACAATAGCAAATTTTTAAAAAGCTTATAAATTATTCTCCTCTATGCTTTTTTTTTTCCATTTTGTATTTTTAATAGCCAAGCTAAGGGATGAATATGAATACAACTACCACTCACACGCAGGGCTGCTTCTTAAAAATTTCTGACAGAAACTCTCATGCTTTCATAAAACACCTCAAACTCAGTGTAACTTTTTATGGTTAAAGAAGATGAAAAATTCTACTGACCGTCCAAAACTGATTATCATTTCTCAGATACTACTGTGTACATAATAAATACAAAAAAGCATAGGTTAAAAAAAAAAAAAAACCAACAAAATTTCATCAGTCATTATTAACTCACTTGTCACATTTGTTGTCACTGTTCTACTCGCAGGTGAACTGTATAATGAAGAAGAAACTGCAGAAACTGTAACATCGTATGTGGTTCCAGGAAGAGTATTAGAAAAATCAGCCTGAAATAGGACATAGGTTTATTCAAGTCTTTTACCAAGAATTGTGAAAACTAAATAAAACCCCACAACCCAAAAGTTTAAGCATTGCATTACCGAAAGTGATCTGTTAATAAGCTTTTAGAAATACAACAGTACTTACAACAGTAAAAATAGTTTACATCTGTTAGCTACAGTACTGTATTTTGCCATCTTATTTAACTACCCTCCATAAGATACATGCAACATTCAGTATCAAAGAACAACAAAATTAACTATTAATTTTATCACAGAATCACCTATCACTGTATCTATAGAGTTTTTCTGTATCATCATTGCTATCAAAGTAAATATAAAGCACTATAAAATTGCTTTTTTAAAGAATAAACACAAAAGCAGCCTGAAAAACTTAAAAGTTTTTGACCCTTCAGCTAGCCCATCTTTCAAAATAAACATAATCAACAACTTTTTAGCAAGCATTTGTATAAAATACCTGTATCTTTGCAGTTCCGATTAAAAAAAAAGACAAGATAACCAGAACAACCATTATTTCTGTTAATATTATTATATTTCCCACACTGCAGAATCAAAAAGTGCTCCTATCTCTTTTTAATGGCTTAGCACTGAAATGTTGCCTGCATTAAAGATTTAAGCACAGCTCTTCCTGGCAAGTACACAATTAATGAGCCTGTATTACTCAATAGCTCTGCCCTTCCTTTGTTAAACTATTCATGAACCCTTGGATGATTGGCTGTATCCTTCTAGCAGACTTAAAAAAAGTAAATTCTAGCTATTGTTAGGTAGCAAACTCTGGATGTTGACCTCTGCTCTCACCAATTTTTCATGAATACTTTCATATTCATATTTGCACTAAATAGCTAAGGAGGCAAGCTCAAATTCCTCGTCAGCACAGTGCATAAGGAAAAGCTGGCCATGCAGGTCCTGTAATAAAAGCACATACTTGATACTCCCTTCCTCCAAGATCTAGGATAACAACAGAACCATGATCAGGAATAAGATCCACGTGAAATTTGTCTACGTGTCCATACGGTAGTCTCCAATACAGTGAAAAAGAATATAATGAAACATTGAAGAATTTAAGTCCTTCTGGCTTTGCAGGTTCTGAAAGAGAATTGTGGAATAAAGGACATTAACTTAAATAATCCCCTTTATAAATACATTAGTAGTTACAACTGAATATAAAAGCATCCAAGAACAGTTTACTTGCTACATGAAGGCTAATTGCTAATTAGCCTGGATACAGCAGTGTATTACACTACAGTTGCTATACTACCTCTGAGACTTGGTTGATAATCTTCCAACTATGCTGTGCAGACACCCCCATTTGCAGAGAGCAAGCTCAAGTATCTTTGCCCAGTGTTCAGTTAACAAAGAATCTCTGCACAGTCCCAGTGTTTCTGCTGTCCTCAACCTTAACGCTAGCACTACTACTGTCATAACTAGTGCTACTGTTGAAATTCAAGGTATAGCTGGTGCTTGGTCTGTTGCTAGCCACAGGGTTCTTAACCCTTTTTGGACTTTTCATGTATTTGGAATCCCAGTAATTCCATGAAGTCTAGTGAGTTAAGTCCCCAAAATTTGGATGTTTTACTCCTTTTATTAAAGCCAAGTTCCCACCTACTCCTGTCATACCATCTCACTTTCCTCTATCTTTAAATCTGTATCATCTGCTCTAAGTCTAAAAATGAATCAGATTTTCGCTTCTTCAATAGTTTATTAAAACGTTACCTACCTATTATATACCTTGTATAATTTATCCACCTGTGCAATCCATAGCCATGTGCATGTGTCTCCTTTCTACTTTGGAAAGTATGCACAGCTAATAGCTGTCCCTATGCTTATCTCCCAGAGCAAGCCCAGTCAGTGATGCTATTCATCACATTTCAGATTTGCCGCTACCCTTCCACTCAGTCTTCTGTTTGCTTTACTAACATAGTTCTTCAGAATTCAGACTAAATCTTCGAGTACTGTTCATACACCAATAACATACTGTGCAATCTGAACATCATATCATTTCCATCCTGAAAGAACTCTGATCCTTTCTTATTTACTCTAAATCTGCTTAGATTATATATCTTTCATGAACTCTTTACACTGACTATTCAAAGTTGCAGAATCATTTCAGGTTACTCCATCCAGTTTTGCCACCAAATCATCTATCTGAAATATTAATATAACCAAATATTACCTTTAGATTTTATATTCAGTCTGTATTTGTCTTAACACGTATGATTTTTAACTTGTGGATTTATCTTAATAGTTTTTAAATACTTTAATTTAATACTAACAAAATCAATAACTAATAATAAATGTGGAGATGTGCATGTGTAATTGAGAGCATAATTTCTTCCTTTTAGTATACTTTTATAAATTTTAAGTCCTACTGCTAACATCAGTACTATTATTTTCATGGATCTCAACTTCCTTTAAAGCTGGATTTTATGCTTTTTATACAAACCCATGATTAATCCCTGAGTGTACAGTCATTACAACACTTAAATCACCTCCTCACTTCAGTTGAATTACTTCTGACTCAGCAGTAGAAGACAGAATAAAAATGTCCTCACGGAAAGAGAAATTTAGTCCAATGAAGCTAATGCTCTTCCTAGTATTATCCCATGACTGAGAATTACCCTTCCTACTGACACTGAAAAAAAGCCTCAGTTCCTTCTGCAGATTTAACGACACCATCAGGGAACGCATACGTGAGTGTTGTTCACTCGAGCCTCACTGCGCCTGCTTTTCTACAGTCCTCCTCCCTGATGCACATGCACACACACTTCTTACCAGCAGTGGTCAGCACATTTGTATAAAGTATATAGCCAGTATGTTTGCATAAAGCATAGTTAGAACAATTTGCTGTAAATTTCACAATTTCACCTACAAAAACACGAGCTAATATCTGCAATATATATTCTGAGTGAGTAGATTGAAAATTAGTTGCGGCTGAGTAGATACATCAGTGACTATGGCGTGCAAAACACAGCAACGTGTTAATTTTTTCAAAAGTTAACCATTATAAAGCAGCAGGCTCAGCATCGCAATGTCATCTCAATACATTTAAGTAAAAAGAAACACAATCAGGTCAACCAAACTGACTTAAATCTTCCATGCATTGAAAAAAATATTACTTGCATTTAAAGTATTACAGCATTACAGTCCTAGTCTAAACTGTAATAGACATACAAGATTTTTTCTTATTAATTCTACCCTCAAGACATTACCCCAAAACAAATGTAAGGATTTCCACCTTTACATCACTTTATTTTAAAGGCTGTCTTTGACCTCTTGCTTCAGTCCCCCTGACTAACGCAGAAGCACCAACAGTTTGTCAAGCACTGATCCCAAAAGCAGACATACAAATGTCATGACATTTGGTCAAAGTAGTCAATCAATGACAACTTCCAACACTTCTCAGGTCTCTCTCATACCACCATGTCATTGCCACAAAAAACCCTAGAGAAAGTAGTATAAGAAAGCAGTAAGCAAAATTGGTTTAGGTAGTTCTGGCGCACCTTTCTGGTCGTTAAATTTCATCTGTATTTTACATTGTTACATTACAGTAAACTGCAAGATCGAGATTTTACCCCATAAGTTTTAATCAGAAATCTAACAAGAAACAGTCCTTGAATGGAGGAGTTTACAATCTAAAGCCTTAAAGCTACAAACATTTGCAAACCTCTTTAACCTCACTCCCTGCAAAAAACCTACTGAAATCAAATAATGTAAAACTCAGCTCAGGCATAAGTCTGCAGGATAAGACCGGAAAAATAATGAAAATAGTAAAAATGGTCAAAAGAAATGCAGCACAGCTAAAGAAATTATGTTTCTGGTAGCATATCACTAGAAGCATGTTGAATAGAGTGTAAGTAATGTATGTCCACAACCACAGCACAAGAAACCATACAGACCTGTTACAATTTCAATGGAAGCAGACGCTCCTTCAATATTTCCCCTTAGTCTTTGCAGTGTGAAATTATAAATGGCCCCAGCAGTCAGGTCTGTAACACTGAAGTCAGTCAGTGTTCCTGGAATCCTGAACTTCTTTATAAAAGTGTTGTTTGATAAAGATGCTTTATAAGAAGTGAAGTTTGTCTTGGTTGGATTCCACATTAAAGTTGCAGAGGAAGTATTTACCATTTTTAACGCCAGACCGCATATCCCAGCTGGTTCTACAGTAAAAAATTACTCAGATTAATAAAGAAAAATTGAATGCATAGTCCTTAAAATATAAGAAAACTACCACCCTTCAAAAATAAATGGTTTTTATTTAAATTACTTGAGGGTTCACAGCATCATGAAATATTTATACAATATTTAGAAGTATGTTTGTATGGATATATAGTAAACAGTAAAACCTGGGGAGGTACCTCCTGTGTGCACTATGTAATTTACAGAAGAAAATTCCAGATTTATCGGATCTTCTGTAAGAACAGTAAGATTGCTCACTGGTGAAACAGAAGGAGAATGGAACACTTTGTAAACAGAAATAGAGATTTTACTCAGTTAAATGTTTTCTAAAATACATCATAGGCCATTTAATTTTAGAAAACTGTTCATCTTTTCACTTAGTGTTACAGCAGATTGCATAGTCTCAGTGATTAACCCTTTTTTCCTTTTTAAATATTTCTTTTGGTTATATTAAAATTCCTAAAATCACAGATTTTAGGACCTCCATTAATCTGTGCAGCACAGCTATGGTCAGAAAAGAAAAATGTTTTCATTCCTCCTAAAAAAGGAATCTTCTAGATTATTCATTTAACTTGCTTGAAGCTTTCTGAAAAGTACTGATTAGCATAATCCCATTAAGGGCTGGATTATTCAACATGAAAAAAATCCTAAAGGTTTGCCATTAAACTGGTAAACTCTCCATCATCTAGCCATATCCTGCACTCATCCACAGTAGTCTTGAAAATATTTACTTGAGGGTAAAAAGCACCTTCTGGACCATAATGATGATTATTTTGCTGCACTTTTCATTAACAAGAATCTGCAGGACTAGATCTGGTTTTCTTCAGAAATTCACTCATCTTTGAATAAGTGCAGAGTCTCCTTAACTATTAAATGGATTAAGGAGTCCATATAAACCACAGAAAATCCATCAAAGAAGGGAGAAGGTCTATGACATGCACGTGTATAAATCTAGGAGTCGATTTATTTTTGATAACACTTAGCTGCTCTTTATTTGCTTTGGCAGTCCAGAATCCAAAATAAACCTCTTTCTTCAAATCTCTACCACAAACAAACTCTCCTCTTTTTATGCTGTATCACAGGAGCATTGGAAAATCTATGTTTGCTCAGAGACAGAAAATAAGTGCAAGACACAGATTAATTTTCTGGACTTTGTTAAGCTGCCTGAAACACAATTCCTCTTACTCTTTCAAGCATTCTGTGGCCTTCTACGGGAGCAATCCTCCAATCTTGGACCATGGGCTTCCAAGTATTTAAGAAATGCAGAAACAATTGTAAACAAAATGCAAGGTAATTCTGAAAGTACAGAATGCTATTCTGACAAGATCTTATTCTGCTAGAACTGGAAGAATATTGTGAGCCCACCCCTTTTTTTCAAATGGGTATCTGCAACTATGTCTAGACTCCTCAACTTCAACTCATCGAGTTACATACAAGGCTCCTGTTTAAACAACACAAGAGGAAGCAGAAGTGGCCCCCAAAAGTTACAAGTTGCATTTTGAACCGTGTGACCCTTTTGAGTCTCTTACATACAACGATCTAAATGTCCCTGAACATTTAATGGTTTTCAAAAAGAAAGAAAAAGACAAGTTATAAGGTATTTCCTTACTTGTGATGACTTTTTTCTCCACAGCCACTGAGGAATCCAAGCCTTTAACTGTCCTTAACTGAAAAAAGTATTCTGTCCCAGGGGCCAGATTTTTCACTACAGCTCTGCTGTCATAAACAGTTCTGGTAAGCAGCTTTTCATTATTCATCAGACAATATGAAAGCTATGGAAGAAAAATAATTTCTTGTATCAGACTATTTCACTTCATAAAAGTGATGTTCAGAGATTCCAACTACCTGTTTATATAAAAATATTTACAATATTTTCCAAATTTTAAAGACCAAAAAAAATAAAATGGGTTAAGCTTTATACTATGTTCCACAAGATTGATCCACTACTTACACTAAGATTCCTTAATAGCCCAGTGGTGAAAGCAGTGAATTTAATCTTTAAAAGTAGATGGAGGAAGCAAAGTTAAGTCATGGGTTACAGGTGACATGTTTTTGCTCTTGGAGGAAGGATAATAAAGTGTACCCTGACTGCTCGGTCACACAGCTGTACTGATGAGCTGCGCAATTAACTACAGGATAGACAGAATGAGAATAGCCAAGGGGTAGAAGAGAAACCAAAGGATTAATCAACAGGATGAGATAATTTTTTTTGAATTCTAAAATTGAGACACTTCCAAAATCTCTGTACCTTTCAGGCAAAGAAAAAAAACAAAAACAAAAACATAAAAAAACCCCAACAAAAAAACCACAAAAAAAAACCCAAAACCAAACAGAATCAAACAAAACCAACCAACCAACCAAAAAAACATCCATGCACTGCTCAGAGCTGAGATTCTGAAGAGTCCCAAGGAATCAGCCATTCAGCTCTGCTCCCTGGTATACTTTGAAAACTCACTTGTTTAGAGCCTCTGCAGAGAATAAAACTGCTGGAGATACCAGGTAATTGAAATTTGGGCACTTAACTCCTAGAAGCTGTGAGAATTCCTTCTGACCTCCCAGACAAGTCTAAAGTGAGGAAAAAAAATTCCTGTGACAGTCCTTTCTGCGGACATAGAAAACCCTTACTGCAGACTGTTTCCTATCTGCACTCGTGAAAGGGAAGATGCACACTGTGCCTGCCCTGCAGAGGAGGGCTCTAGACAGGCATCTCCAGCACACACACATGGGTTTCTCAGCATGGCAGTTAGTACTAAGTGATTAAGAAGGTTTGCAACTGCCTACATCAGCATGTCCTGACCTGCCACTCGTTACTTCCTCCAACAGAAGAGGGATATTCTACACATGGCAGAGGCCTAAAAGCACTTTGGTTCAGCGCTATTCATTTGAGGATGAACGATCCAATTCCCCTCTGTATATTTTACCAGCTCAGTACCTGTTTATCCACACTAAATCTTGGAGACTGTCATCACCTTATTAGAATTACATCACTGCAAAATGCTAGAAGCAAAGCTATAGATTAAAGATTTACATCTAGTATAAACAAGTTAGGAAGGTACCTTTTGTGCACTCTTCGCTCTACAAACTATAATATACTGCATAGAAAGTTGGTGAGCTGAGATAATTAATTTTAAATTATTAGTAAAATGATCCCTTTTATGCAGGTGCACCTTACTAAGCAACCAGTCTACTGAAGCCTTTCTCATTAAAGATTTAAAGATAAGCTCATTTATTCAGACAAAGCAATGTCTAATGTGGCTGCTTGCTCTATGAGATGCCGAACAATAATACTGTGCCATAAAGATCAATATTACAGATGACAATTACTTTCCACAGGATGGTAAAAATAACCTGACCACATACAAAAGTATATCTGAACTGGTTCAAAACACGAATGAGAGAACTGAATTTAATTTAAAATTTGTAAAAATACTCCAGGCTACATCAGCAAATTGTGCTGTAGCAGGTTAACTGGCTACTCTTATTCATTCAGATCAATGCAGCTTTATGCTAATGAAGAGAGAAGAAATGTCAAGAAACTATACTAACAATGTTCAGATTTCAAGTTTTAGGTAAGGAGATAATCAAAGTCATGGGGAAGGGGGAGGAAAAGAATTGGACACAGTAATATTGGGGTATAAACTGTGTGAAATCATTAAAGCAAAGTACTTTGTCTCATGGTAGTGCTAGATAGGAAAGAATATCCTAGTCAAGTAAGTTAACCATACAAGACCATACCTTGAAATCTTTATTGATTCAAATGACATGTTTAAAGAGCAGTTTACTACCACACAGTTCTATTGACCGCGTGACCGTGTTCAGACAGTGACTGCGAAATGCAAGAGATAATACAAGACAGGCTGCAAAGGACAGGATACAAAAACGACTGGCTGAATGTCGTAGTGAAACATGATCCACAGGCGAAACATTTAGATGTCATAGTGGATTGGTTTTGACCAGAGAACTGAAAGAACAGAAATAACTCTGGATTTTTTGCTAAGCATTGCAAAGTTGCAAAGGATACGGCTCAAAATAGAAATGCTGAAGACCCACTCTGTCATGCCAACCATGAAATACTAGAAATCAGCTTTTTTGTAAGAATAAAAATGTCCAGCACAGTGACATTTAATTAGAAAAGGAGAAATACTTTAAAATGATCAAGCAAATTAAAAGGAGATTATGACAAGCACTGAAAAGGATCACAGTATGAAAAACATTGAAATGCAACTTTAATACACAATACACCACTCAAAAAGTTTGTACAGGGAATGTAGAAAGAAAACCAGTTAAACAGTAAAGAGGATTACTTTAAGAAAAAATATCCTTAAAAACTGGAGATCATGTCAAAACAAGAAAAATAAAAACTATAAACGTGTCTAACTCGTGCACACTAACCTAAGAAGCACAGGGAAGCAGGGCAGAGAAGAAACACAGATCTGCGAGCCAAAAGAGACTGAAGAGTAACTTGAAAATTGTATAACAACTAATGAAAACAATTTAAACACACAATAAGCTTACCTGGGTGTTGGGGAGGCCACTAGCTGACCAAAGTACAAAGGCAGCACTCAGTATAGTCAAGCCCATATGAGAAATAGTAACTGAACTACTCTTTTCAATGGTCAAGGATGTTCCCACATCAGAATCATTATTAACGAACTATGAGTTTTGAGTCAAACTGAGTTGACTCAAATTGAAATGTCCACAGAAGTTTTTAAAAAAAGTCTGACCATAGTCAGAAAGGGAGACAGCATGTTACTGCCTAGGAAAGGTATAGGAAGCAAACCAGAAAACACTATTAACACCTTTTGATAATTCCATTATGCACTCAATCTCAACAAGGATATCAAAAGTTTAGAAAAATTAAAGAAAAAAATACTAAGAGATGTAGAACAGCTTCCACATAAGAATGCTGCACAAAAGAAAACTGAGAAATTAAAGCTTATAAAATCATGAAAGGTACGGGTAAGTAGGGGGAAGTACTAGCTCTTTCTAATACCACAAGAATCTAAAGAATACAAAGTTTAAAACAAAAAAGTGTACTCTTTCAAACAGGGAATAATGAAATTGTGAAGCACAAAGGACAAATTCAAGAAAAACTGTCACTGTGTTTCTTATGTATGTCCAGTTTCAACCTATCATTCAGGAAACCCCTAAACTACTTAGCGTCCAAGGCCAGGAGGGTATGGGAGGTATTGAATGTTTGCAGCATTGTCTTGGAAATCGCCACATTTAAAAAAAAAAAAAAGTTTTATTCTGTACTTTCTAAACAAAACATTAAGATCCTTCTATATAGAATGAATTTTTTATTTTGCACTTTAATGACATTAATTTGTATTACAAATGTAGAAAGCTATGGAAAAAAGATTGCAGTTGCATTCAACCTTTGACCTGTAATCTTTTTTATTGCACACTAGGTGAAAAATTAGGTTTTGAAACTTTTAAAAGCATAATTTTATAAGCCTCTTAAAAACTGTTATGAAATATGAAGTATGTATTTAGCTGATCTTCTCCCATAGCAGTATTTCCCTCCCATGCTTATGTGGGTTAGAAAGTCAAATATTTATTGTTGGGTTACATACAGGTTGATAATTTCACTGAGAATTTTTTTTTTTAAAAAAAAAAAGAAAAGTAAAGGATTGCATTGGTTTCTTCCCATTCTTATCTCACCTGAAACATATCAAATTCTCCTCTTGGTACTTTCCAAGAAAAATAGACTGCATTTTCTTCTTGCCCAAACACCTGTAAACCTGATGGTGGATCGGGATCTGACATAAAGACATGAATGGATGCAAAATTTAGCATCAAAATAATCTATATCAATTTGAAGGAAATTAACATCTACAGAAGACACTTCTGTAATTCATTATTTTATAGTTCAGTGTAGAAACAGATTTCATTTTGCATTTAAGAATATAAAACAAACTACATATTAGCAATAGAATCAGAAATAAAAATAATGTTTGTAAATTTCTATCGTCCTAATATTACTGCTGATTCAGTTACTGGCAGAATCCCATTAACTACAGAGGAAACTTGTTTGTGTTTTAAAAGCTTCTGTTTACTTAGTAACTTTTAAGATTAAGATTAAAAAGACACATATACATTAATCCAGCCATCTGATTATCTGAAATAATGAAAAGTTATTGATAAATTGTGAACCTACAGGTGCTAATCTTGAGGATGGTGGGGTGACTTCTTTTTAATCCATTGGTTGTCACAATACTGATTAAGAAATCAGTGCCTGGCAGAAGACCCTCAAATTTGTACATTCTACAAAGATTAAAAAAAGACATTACGTTCTTTTGGATTTTAAAAATGCACGTATCTTCATATGTTAATTCTTTATAGTATTATGGATATTATTTACACATCATGTGTGTATACATATGTATATGCTGTTAGTCAATAACTATTTTAGTATAATAAAATCTTAAATAGGATGCATCATACTATGGTTCACAGCAAGTTCAAGTACTAGAAAGTCTTAAAAGATTAAGTTAAACATCCAGAATGACAGACAGGTTCTACTGGTGCTCAATCCAGTGCAGTATTTTGTTTGCTGCTCTTTGCACAAAGACATCATATGAGACTTGTAATTTGTTACAAAATGCAATTCTTAAAATAATCTTTTCTTCACATGGGTATAGTAATGTATATCAACTAAAACATCAAATGCATATCACATAGAAGTAACACTGCAGGCTACTTAGTTTAAATATACAGTGAAACATCTGCTTTGAGTTTGTGTCAGTTATTTTTTAAATGTAATCCTCATACCTTACACTGGAAGGTAATATTTTCTCCTCGTTGAAGACCTTACTGTTTATTGAAATAACATATCCATCAAACATATTTTGGGTTGGTGGCCAGGTAACAGTTATTGATTCAGAGTCTCTGCTGTAGTTCAGGTATTTAACTGCGCTTGGTACTGTGTGACGATAAGCAAAAATGCATTACTCTAAAAATATATTTAAATACATTACTTTATGACAGGACTCATGCCATCAGAATGCAATGAAAACTCCAGAAAAATTATGCCACGTCCTTGCTTATCTCAAGGACACACAGACTGTAGCGATGTGTATAGGCACTTCAGTTATCCACGAGATCCAGAGGCAAACCGCTTGCTGCTCTATAATGCTACTTAGAGCAGATCTGACATCACTGATGTGGAGTTCCTCAAAAAAGGTCAGTCCCTTAAGAAAAGAAACGTCAGACACCAAAGTCCCCACTAACACAGTGTCTTGTATTCAATTTAAATGCCAGATTTAACAGCCTGAGAGGCCCCGTCCCCAAGTCCAACCAGCAGCAAGGCTGAAGCTGCATTCCCAGCATGCACACACACACAGAGTACACATATACACCACATATATATATATATATATATATGTACATGGATGGACACACAAATGACACAGACACTCAGGGCACTCGCATGAACACAGACAGCACCAACAGCCTCATCCTGCTCCCCTCTCTGGCTGAGAATGGAGGTCCACCGGTGAGAATACTTATACACGTACGTACAAGGTGGAACTCCCCAGCAGCTGGGCTCAGACACTCAGTCTGCCCGGTAAATGCCCCTGGATCCCATTCTCCCCAGTTGCTGGCACAGTCACAGACCTGACCAGGACTTCCCAGATCCCAACAGGCAACCCACCCTGCACTGTCACCCTTGGAGATGCACAGATGCTTTCACACCCAGAGCTCGCCCACTCACCCCATTGCTCTCAGGCCACTTCACCCACCCAGCAGCTCACCTGGCTGGATCTCACTAGCAGTCACACACTCACTCGCACACCTGCACTTGCTCTAGATGCTGCCCCACAGACACACGGGCCCTCCGACCCACGGTCAGACTCTAGTTGCTGCACTCATGCTCCTGCACACACACACACGCACGCACGCAGGACAGGAAGGCATCAGAAAGGGATTTAATAAGACAGGACACATCGTGCTGATCAGGTGTGGGGCACAGTCAGACAAGCAAATCATTTACATGTGATGAGGTTTTATCCCCTTAGCCCTCTATTTTCCCATACTTGTTCTTCCCCAAATCACCTAATCCCCCTCCCTTTTCCTGCCTTTGATTCCTCCCTTAATCATCCCATAACAAGTCCTGTGCAACTCCAAACTGCTTTTCCCTGGCATCCCATAACGTGTCCTACACCCCTAAGCAGTGAACCCCCTTAGTCTAAAAGGTGATCCAGAGAGCTCCTCCCAATGCCCTGTCTTGATGGGCTTCATGCCTGGACACAGGGGCTGAGGCTTTTCTGAGACAGCCCTGTGAAGGAACTGGACATGGTGTTCATTCCACCGGAGTCTGTAATTGGGGTCCCTGCCTGACACTATGTTCTTCTGGACTTGTGGGGATGGGCCTTTGATGGGCCAACAGCTCCTGTGATGGGCCTAGGAATAGTCTGGTGGGGTGGGTATTATTTGGGGTCCCCTTCTTGTCATTGCCTCTCTGGGCTTCTTTGTGGGTGTACAGGGGAACTTTTATTTTCTGTAACGTTGGTAGCCAGAGACTGTGCAAGTATCAGTTACTAGACTGTACACCTGCTTGAAGTTAACATTGTTACTTCACTGTACACTGTACCCATATTCAAATCTGAAAGGACACAAGCAGACAAAAATAAAGAAAATAACAATGAAAGAGAATAAGGAGAAAATTATGAAGATGACTGAATTACTTTTCTCTATTTGAGACAAAAAGAAAATTCAAGAAGAAAGCAAGATGCATAGGTGGAGTAAAACAAATGCTGAACTTGACAACGTTGTGGTCTCACCTGTCTCTATTTCCTTTGTCACAAAAATACTGTCTCTGAAACCTTCCTTCTCTGTTCGAATTGTAAAGTTGTACAGCTTACCAGGAGTAAGGTTGTAAAATGTTGCTGTTTCTTGCCTGACCTTCTGGACCTAGAAAACCAAATACTGCTTTCACAGAACCGCTTGCAAAATTTGCTCATCTTATTTAAATTGTATCCACCTATTTTAAATGGGAGATACAGCTTTTAACTTAACCTCTGATTACTTAACAGAAGACTTTGAAAAATAACTGCATTGCCTATACACAAGCGGTCTTTTAAAAAACATACCCTGAAAGCACTTGCACAATTTGTACATGTAACTTCATATTGCTGAAAATCTCCATCAGCACGGTCCCAAGCAATTTGTATTGAAGTGTCTGTAATGTTACCTTCTCGTATATTGAGTGGAGCTGCTAGACCTATAGAAGGACATAAAACACATTACTGTTCAATCCAAGACTTTGTTCAATCCAACACTTTATGTCTCCTGCGGAGACTTAAAAGTGAAGACAACCAGTAACAGATTCAAACAAATAGAGGGCAAAATCTGATCTCAGGCATGCAAACACACAGACATTCCGAAATAGAAAAAGGGGAGAAAGAACGGAGAGATAATATTGCCACTATTTAAAGAAAATTCCCTGCTTGTTTATCTGAAAATTACATGGGGCTGAACACGCATTTCTCCCTGGGGACAGAGCTGGCACTCCTAGGTGGGAGAGTCCTCCAGAATCCCTCCAATACCACCTCCATAGTGCTCAGAAAGTACCAAAATTTTGTCAAACAGCTCAGCACAACTGTGTAGACCAGGCAAGACAAATACACTTTATCCCTAATTAGCACAATCTTGTATGATACAATTCAGATCACATTACAGAGGAGCTTCCACTCTTATCTGCACCTCTTTCGTCTCCACCACAGCTGTTTCTGCCTGGAATGAACAAAAATTTACACTTTTTCTAAGAAAAACTGTATACATGTGAGGGGTCAGCAATTTTTTTTCCCCAAGTTTTTGGGGTCCCAGAAGAGATAGACCAAAACTAGGTTTTCTAAGGCAGTTTCACAATGAATTTAGGAATGCTTTCATGAGATAGACCAAACCCCATTTTTACTAAAACTATATTTTAAGAAAAATCAGATTTCAAGGTTTTCACTATTTGGGGAAGAATTTCTCTGTCTTGCCCTCATTCTCCTTTCTTCCTTGTTTCTTTTTATCCTACCTTAATTTTTCCTTTTATAGCATTTCTACTCTGAAGGAAACAGAGCAGAAAAGTATTTTAAAGGAAAATTATAGAACACGAAAAGAAAAGCTTCTGGAAGTATATAATGAAAAATAGGAATTTCATCAGGTATTTTTAAACAGTTTTAAAGTTCTTATTAAAATTTTAAGTCCTTGCTAGAAGGACTCCCCATAATATTTTTTTAATGTCTTTGTTATTGAATTCCTTATCTTGAAAAATGGGAATCTCAATGTTTTTACTATTTGCTTAAAGATGCAGCAGGAGGAATAAACTTACTAATTTCAGGACACAGAAGTAACTCCATTGATACTCATCTTTTTGGCTAAAATAAATGGTCAAAATGTGTCTTGTTTTCCACAAGGATAACAAATTAATACCGCTTAAATTCCTGAAATACTTGATTGACATTTTATAGACTTGATATAAAAAACATAATTCAGAAAGTCTAGGAATTATAAGGAATCATTATAGTCTTGTTTAAAAAAACAGCCAGCGTTAGTGTAATTATTAATTGCTTACACAGATATACCAAGGTGACTTTTAAATAGCCTGTATTTGTAATGCACTGAAATAAAGTTAAAACAGTTTACAAATCAAAATTTAGTATGGTGCACTTTCATAGGAATAAACTTAAAATACTCACAGGTTTTTACACCAGACACATGGTAAAAGGAGCTCAACATTTTTCCACTTTTTGTGGAGACACAGAAATCATATTCTGTTCCTGCAGTAAGGTTTTCAACTGTTATTTTACCATCGCTTTTTAAAATGAACGTTGCACTAGGTCCTTCTTTACTTGTAACATATATGCCATCAAATACTCCAATATCAGGCATGCGAATAAATAATACCACTGCATTGCTATAAAGCACATAAGGAACTACAATTTGAACAGGCTTGGGCTCTAAAAGAAGAAAAAAAATGCCACATGTTAAACGGGTGGAAAATAAATTCAATGAAAACCACACAATAAATCTGAAGCAACCGCCCTGAGAAAAATGCTTGCCCAGTGCAAATGAATAGCTACCGTAATAAAACATGTCATTGCTCAGAAACAATAAACCACCTGATCTTTTTAAGTGTTCATTACTGGAATCCTGATGCATTTGACAAATGATATATGAACCAAAGCAAGCTAGGCTTCCAAAGGTATCAATGAATTACCTTTTCAACCACAACCACACCAAGAAGGTAAGTCAGCATAGCTGAAAAAATATACAGAGATCTATGTGCAGACAGGGAGATAAGCATGGAGAATGAGCTACGTTTGACGGATGCAATATTGACCTGTTCAGTTTTCTTCCCTTACAGCTGGCTCTGACAGCTGTGAAAAATCCCATCTAGAATTTTGTCATCTGTGTCTTGAATGAGGTATTAAATATAATCCTATATAAAAAATTCTGAAAAAGACTAAGCCTGCTACCCTCCAAAATACTGTAATTGTTTAGAACAAAATGACAACGCAGCATTTCACATATCCATAACCTGACAGCTGCAGCCTTTACAAACCACATGGATAAGTGAATCATGCCCATTCCTTCACAAAAAATTTATACTGTGCCAAAAGCATTTCAACATCTTGGTAAAATAAGACTAACAGGAAAGACCCTTTGGTAAACAATGTGAAGCTTTTACCTTTCAGCTACCACTACTTCTAACTCTTAAAGTCCTTTCCCAGCACCCTCTCACCAGTAGTAGGGTAATTTCTCTCTCGCAGTTCGCAGAACAACTAATGCATCTCCAAAAATAAATTATCTGTTTCAACCATTCTGATATTTTCCTATTTCAACACAAATCAACGATTCACCAAATTTCTTCCATCAGCGGGAACAGGATTCCCAGCTATGGTCCTCACTGCAGTTATGAGTACTACCAACACGTTTGCCAAGGCTGCACCCTCTTTGAAAGTTAACAGCATCTACTTTGCTGTTAACAATTAAGGTTGCATCGGTACCTTTCATATTCTAGTTTTGATCCTTGGCTATTCAGCAAATTGACTTGATCTACCAAATCTGTTAGACAATAGTAACAGCATCGAGACTGATGTTCTGTGTATTACAGTGTGTAGTTTCCAACAGTAAATGATGTCTTACTTAGAGTGCATTGAATGGTCTTCAGTTCACTCATATTTCCATTAATCACACTTGCCACTGCTATTTCATACGCCATTCCAGGAATTAGGAGATCAATTTTAAATTCTTCTGTATTCTTTAATAAAAACTTCTTCATTTCACCAACGTCTGCACTAGGTTTCACTTGAATGTAGGATTCCTGACCCTCTTGTGGCAGCTTCCAGTGAAGGATTACACTCTCTTCCTGTATATCTTCTGGGTGAATATAAACAGCTCTAGGGGGACTGACAGCTTGAGCAAAGAAAAAGATGTCAGTATAAAACCATAGATCAAAATTACTATCAATTTACAATCACTTCCCAATGATGACTTTTGGTTTATTTTTTCTTCTAAAAATGCCATGCTTTTAAAACTACTAATTCCATTTAATTATTTCTTAAAATAGTTTGTAGATCACTACCTGTTACAGGCAGATTCTGCTCTTTTTTCTCATAACAAATAGGGACTTATTTTACAAGCACATTCCATTCCACTGGATATATACAGAGTAATAAAGATGACACAATCTGAGTCACAGTATCTATGATTAGAAAAATAAATTAATCTGTCTTCACCTGCATAATTTAAGAGATCATGGTAATGTTTCTACTTTGCTAAAATTAAATAAACAAACCATAAATATTTAGCAAATAGGATGCTGCTTCTTTAGCACCTATTAATGTTCTAGCACATATTAATGTTCCAATGACCTTTTTTTTCAAATACAGCCTGAAAAGCTAACAGTACACACTTACTTACATAAATGCTAAACAGTATTAGAATATTATAATGTTCTATATATTAAATATAAAATAAGTGACTCAATAAACAAGGGGATTAGGTAGGTTCACTCTTTTGGAAGGTTCTGAAGGTTAGAATCAGTAAACAGAGAACATAGAAAACAATTCCCCCAACTTTCTCATCTCAACAAACCGCAATCTGTATGTGGCCTTAAAAATACTTGTATGCCCTGTATTTTCAATTTAAACACTGTCTAGTGAAACAAAGCCTCCAGAAAATAGATACATCACCTGTCGTGATTAAGATAGGCTTCTCATGGCAGCTTAGAGTTCCTTTTTCTGCTACATTCTGTAAATATATCTGATACTGACGATAAGATTTTACATTTCCTATTACTATTGAAGACTTGCTTTTTTCAACCTGTAACTGTTCCCAAATGTTGGTTTCAGTATCCAAAATGTTGATGAGATAGTAATGAAAAGAAGCACTGGATGAATGCTGCGGAGGCTTCCACTTCAAATGTATTTCTGCAGATGAAACGTATGTAGCCTCTAACTTCAGGGAGTGAAACGGTCCTATTGAATAAGATTAGGAACAGAAATAGGATAATAGCTTCTGATATCCTTTTCCAATGACTAACGTTTTTTTTCAAATACAGCCTGAAAAGCTAACAGTACACGCTTACTTACATAAATGCTAAACAGTATTAGAACAAATCAAACAAAGCAAATGTGACTGTATATCTAATATTGATATGCAGGGGAATAGTCTCACTACCCAACTGAGGTTTTCTGAATCACCCAGCTCTATGTGTTGAACTCAGTCTCCTCACTTAGGTCCTCTCTCTTGTGCTTCAGTCAGATCAGAAACATCACCTAACAGGCTTGAGAGGCAGGCCCAGGCCAACCTCATGAAGTGTAACAAGGCCAAGTGCAAGGTCCTGCCCCTGGGTCAAGGAAATCCCAAGCACAGATACAGGCTGGGCGATGACTGGACTAAGAGCAGTCCTGGGGAGAACGACTTGGGCATGCTGGTGGATGAAAAGATGAACATGAGCCAACAGTGTGCACTCACAGCCCAGAAAGACAACCGTATCCTGGGCTTCATCATAAGAAGTGTGGCCAGCAGGTCAAGGGAAGTGATTCTGCCCCTCTACTCTGCCCTTGTGAGACCCCACCTGGAGTGCTGCGTCCAGCTCTGGAGCCCCCAACACACGAAAGACATGGAGATGCTGGAGCGAGTCCAGAGGAGGGCTACCAAGATGGTCAGAGGGTTGGAACACCTTTCCTACCAGGACAGGCTGAGGGGGTTGTGCT